AGCATTACGGGGACACACAAAAAAACTGTCTTCGAGTGCGAAGGGAGCTTTGCGGGCGTTCAACCGCCGACAATGGAGGGTGACTGCGGAATCATTGTCGGTGCGTTATGAAGTGAAAAATGAAAGAGATAACGATTTTCCCGAAGTCTGTGCGTACCCGCCGATTTTTTTTTTTTTTGCCGCTCTTGACACTTCTCTCCCCAAATCTCTTCGAACCAAAGATATAAAAAAAACCTGAAGCATTCTTAAACTCAATTATTTGGATTATTCTTACACCACGCTTATTGCGAGTCAATAACTCGCGTAATTCGTATTAATTATCGCTTATATCATTGGTTTTTATTTTTTTGTTTTTATAATCAAAAGACCCCAATGTTTGCTTTTACGCGTCAGTGTTCGGTGCAAGAAGAAAAAATTACTCTCTGGTATTAAATAACACTCCCGTGCCTTTGTCTTCGCAGAAGAAGGGGTGCGGGTTATAAATTTCGGGAGAGAAGAAAACATTTTTTTTCTTTCCACATTTAAAGCGACACCTCATTCCCGCGAAAAATCGTCGCGATCGTCGCGGCGGAGGCGCGCGAGCGAATCTTTAAGGAGCCGCGAAAGGATTATCGGATACGAAGGAGGTGAAGCTGAAGTCACCATGAATCTTGCGGAAAAGGAAAACTCGGAGTGCGATTTAGCGCGGGTCGATTTATGGTGATTGTATATCATGTCACGGGATAATCCTCGCGAATCGCGAGAGATAAGTGTGTACACAGCTCGCGCGCACACTCGTGACTTTCTCAGGAGGATGAAGAGACGAGAGTAAGCGGAGCGCGCGAACGTACGTAAGGATCACACGGTATAACGTCTTTACCGCACTTCTGCCAGTAGTTCTGTCTGAAGAAGAGACACTTTTCTCCTTCAGAGAGGGTTAGACGCGATATATATTTTACTTTACTCGGGATTATTTAGTTGTCTCTCTCTGTCTCTCTCTCGATCTCTCTCTCTCTCTCTCTCTCTCACTCTCTCGCTCGGAAAGCTCTTAATGTTGCAACATGATCGGCGCGGTTGTTACTCGACGTGTAACTCTCCACTCGCGGAATTACTTCTCCTTGGTGTATTTCTTCGCTTTTATTATTTCATCTCCTCTTTGTTCGAAAGTTCAAAGCGAATAAAGATCAAGATCTGGATCTTCTATTCTCGTTATTTTACTTTAAAAAAGCACAAGAGTTTTGTACATTTTCTCACTCTCTTGTATAATATATACATCAACAGAGCAAACAATTTGCTTCTTTCGCAAGTTCTCGGTGAGAACTTCATCAAATCGTGGCCGAGACGACCGTGGTAGTTTAGCGGGCGACACGATGTCGTCGTCGACTCTATTAGTATCATTTGAATGAGCCGCTTCTTTGTGGGTCCGGCCGCTCTCGACGACGGCTTCCATTCGCGCCGCTCGTAAAATTAATCACCCGTTCACTTCGCTCGATCTCCTCGTCCGAAGAGAAGTTATTCGTTCCGAGCGGTCTTTTATCCGTGCGCACTTTGAGTGATTAGCAATTCGCGATAAAATTCAAACCAAAGTTTTGTGTAAAGGTTTTTCATTTTTTTTAATTGTCGTTAAAATAATTAAAAATTGTCAAGTACTTGATGCAAATTATATAAATGTAAATTATATATTTTTTTTAAATTAAAAATACGTGCGCGAAGAAAGTTTCGTTATTAGTAGGAAAATTTTCCAACGAGAGAGAGAAAGAGAGAGATAGATAGAAAGAGAGAGTTGCGTTCCTCGCGTGACGAGTCAAGGCAGACACGCGGCTCGACGGATCGTCAGCTTGACTTCTCTCAATCGGTCAGCTTGAGCTGTTCTCTTTGCGGAACGGTTCCGCATCGCGATTCGCGATCTCGCGACCTAAAGATCCTCAAAGAACTCATTTATGTAAGTAATGATGAGCTCGCGAGGTGATGTGCGCCGCGCATCTCTCGCTATGGTGTTTCTATTAGTTTCTTGTTGCGAAATATAGAACAAGGAGAGGTCTTATAAAGTCGCCACGCGAGGGAGGATTTATCTGGATTAAGCAATAAAAGCAATTTCCGCAACGAGACTCTGGCCGCGATCCGAAAAAACCGATTGCCTCGCGCGTAATAATTAACGCATTTACAATTTTAACCAATTTTATAAAAAATATATTGTAAAAGATACATATAAAATATTCTAGCCGTTGTGTTAATTACAAATCTTATCAGAAAAAGCGTCTATAAATAATCACAATCGATTCTCTTGACATTGATTGTTGCCACTTTAATCTCAACGGTAGTGCCTTGCGCCAAGTTCACGCGCAACAAAGTCGCACTCAAACGTGTCTTTAAAAACGTAACAAAAAACAACACGTGACCGTATTTTAGTCACGTGTCTTTTAAAACGTGATTAAAGTAAAGTCACATGACAGGAAAGAAAAGAAGAACAACATGTGACTAAGTAAAGTCACGTGACTTTACTTTTGTCACGTTTTTAAAGACACGTGAGTAAAATAAAGTCACGTGACCTTAGTCACGTGTTGTTTTTCCACTCCTTTTTCTCACTATTTTTTGAGTGCGATTTTCATACGTTATTTCTGACATCTCTCGTATGTGTATCATATGATTTTTAAGACGCGTAAATACTAGCTGTCATCGCGGTGACAGGTTGTGTTCACTGACGCAATACGTTTGAAAATAAAAAACAATAATAGCGTGCGCGTAGCGCGCGTCTGTGCTGTGCTATAAGTATAATAAAAAAACAAGATATATATATATATAAAATTGGCGATTCGAGATAAAACACGAAGATAACACGCGCGCCATTCGTGAACGATCCTCGTTCTTCTCGCCGTGAATGGCGATGCCGCGCGAGAAACAGGATCGGGTAAGAAAAATCCGACGTAGGAAGAATACGAGAGTCTCGGGTGCCCGCGACGAGAAGAAGATATGACGAAGAAGGGCGTAGCCTTCTTCGTGAGAAGAAACCGGGAGCTGTTTCGCGGCTTCCATCGACCAGCTGAGAAGAATGAAGGTCGCTCTCTCGACCACACGGCCGGGCTTCCACAAATAGCCACTACACGCGCTCCTCTTCTTTGTTCGTTAATCGTCCCGAGAAAGCAATTAGATCCGCAGCCTCGCATCAACCACGAATTTATCCCTCGCTCCCGGGGTGGTTTTGTCGTCGTATTAAAACTTTCCGCGCGCGAGAGCAAAACAAGACAAAAAAAAAAAAAAAAAAACATATTAGCTTCTTTCTCGTCGTGATGTAAGTCAAGTTTGGGGTTTTTCAGTCTCTCCCGCCGACGAGACGTTGATAAAAGCAGCACCGAGGCATCGAACTTGCGCTTTCGCAATCGTCTGGGCATCTTCTTTCGGAGTGATAAGGGAGAGTACTCTTTTCTCTCCGCGCGAAGAGGAAATCCAATTAGGAACAAATCCTCACTCGGTTTTCTGAATAAACGTGCTCTCTATCTCGACAGTTTGTAAGTATTGACAAGCTTCGAATAATTGAAGAAAAATCGCACACACATTTGTCGCTTTCACAAAAAACCCGCTAAAGAAAATTATACACAATCGCGATGCAACACATTAAATTTCTCCTCTTTAAATACGTTTATCTTCGTTTTCTTTAAACGCGTTTCTTGTAAATTGCAGCTTCCATATATACGCGCGAAGGACACATTTTCAAGACTTGATAATAACAACAACAATCTTCTTCCGAAAGGAGCGCGGACGCGATATGTTAAAGCAGACGCGCGCAAGAAAAAAAGAAGAACGATTACGTCTAAAAAAATACACCTCCGATACCTGATTTCAACCTGCTTCTGAGTCATACCCCCGTATAATCATACACAGAACACATACATGGGCGTGCTTTATGGAAACGTCAATTCGACGTAAAATATCGATTTGACTTTCGTTGAACTTCGTTCGCGGTCCGTGTGTGTGCGGAGAAAAATTCGCGGTGACTCAAAATTGAGCAGTTTTTGAGATTTTTAAATTTCTACGTATTATTTTGTTCTCTCTCTCTCTCTCTCTCTTTCACTCCCGATGATACAATTTCATTCTATCGAGAGAGACCGGGATTCTCGTTCTCTTCCTCTCGAGCGCACCCAATTTGCCCCCCCTCCCATCAACTTCATTTCGTGAATGACCGCGATTAAACACTCGGCGGTGGAGCGTAAGCGAGTGGCGCACAGAGTGGCATGATTAATCCTCACGAATTACACAGCGCGTCGTTATCGGTCCGTTAACGATTATACGCTAATGCTCGCCCCCGCCCGCACGCGTCATTATACAAAGCCCGGGATTGATGCGCGGAACGGGCGGTCGGTCGCGCGCGTGCACCTCTCTGTTTCTCCGGCTGTTGCTGCTGAAAACGCAACGAGATCCAACTCATTCAACCGGAAATCCGCGGCTGTACAATAATCCCGAGCCAAAGTGTGGCTCGCATTCCGCCGCCGCCGCCGCCGCCGCCGCTGGCGATTAACGGCAGTGCCGATTTCCTGCGCATTTCCATTTTCACGGATGCACATTAGTATGCGAGAGAGAGTGCAACAGTTTATTAAGCGCGATAAAAGCGCGCCTTAATTAGAATGTAATTAAATATTATATTTGCGCGCTGTACGTCGTGTTATTTTTTTTTTCAGAGCAAGTAGATGATATTGATTTCTAGCGCTAGTTTCTTTCTCGATATCAGGCCGACGAACATCGAGATCGAACTGTAGGCGCGCAGATTTTGCGCCTACGTGATTTCGGAGTGTTGCAAAGAGTATATACACACACACACACACACACACACACATACAGACGTACACTCGCACACATCGCGCGATACTCGTCGTGTCCTGTTGGTTGCGAGTGTGTTGCCGTCTCCAACACACACTCCCAACGCATTGCACTCACGATATTCACCACGGACTGTAGCCACGCTGCTAAAGTCCCGGGACTGCAGACGCGACTATAGTGTTTAACAACCGGCTTGCGAGTTAGTTGATTCGCGTCCGCCAGCAAGGCGAGACTCGTTCGAATCTCTTTGTTTCGCGTCCCATTTCGCGAAATTGCGTTTTCTTTGCTCGAAAGTGTTGAATTTTTCGCGTTGAAATTCTATCTGTTGCTATAAAATTGTAGGAAAAAACAAAGAAAAAAACATACAAATATCGCACGTGCAAACGTGCAGTTTGGAGAGATTTGTTTATCGCGTGTGATGAAAAACGTAATTTCGTCACATGGTTTATCGTGCGTGTAAAGTTTTAAATTCTCGCGCGTCTCGGAGATTTATTACCACAGCGCGATGTAACGACTATATATATTTTATTTTTACAAAGTAATTCGTGCAGACACACCATTTATCGAAACTAAACGAATACTCGCAAAATTAAATTTTCGTTTATATTTTCCGACTATAGATAGTCATCCGACAACTGTTATATTCAGTGTCGTTTCGAATTTGATTCCGCTTCATCGATGCTCTTCGGCGCGGCGATCTAATTTAAACAAACAAAATCGAAAAAAAGAAACTTTAATTCGAATTTGCAACTCGTCTTTAATTTTTTGTTCTCAGTCCCTTTAATTTTTCTCACATTAACGTGCAGATGCGATATATTGTGAAATTTATGAGATAAAAGTATCTCCGGGACGGTCTCGTTAGCGTTAAAAGCGCGACGATACGCGCCTTTGTCTGCGTCTCGCGTGCTTCTATAAATAATTCCGATCGTCGAGACGGTGCAGGAGGCGAAGGTGTTGCTGCGCGCGTCTCTCGTCGATTTGTGCGATTTTGTTTCGGGGGGGTAAGAGGGACGCGCTCCAAATATTAATTTTTCAATAAAAAAAAAACCCGACAAAAAAATCACAAATCGAAATCTCGCGTTTCGAGAGTCTCGCGTTTCGTCTCAAGGATTCCGGAACGGGAATAAATTAAAAATAAAAATCGACAGCTGAATTTTTTTCGCGCGTCCTTGAAAGAAAGCGTTCGATCGCGGTCGTAAGTCAATCGCGCGTCGTTTGCGAATTGACAGTGAAGTGTTCGAGAATGCGGGTTTACGTCAGCGACCGAACGATTGCTCACTAACGTCTCTTTCTCTCTCTCTCTCTATCTCTCTTTGAGGGCACGGAGACATATCTTCTATCGCGCGCGCGAATGTTTGCAGATTGCACGACGAGTGTGTGTACATTACGACTCGCACGCAACGTGTGCGTACGCCTTCGAGCGAGATCTCCGAGAGCGCGAGCGGTTGAAAACCGATAACAAAATGGACATTTGAATCGATTGAGGAACAAAATATCGTGACAATTAATTAATCGTATCGATTTCTGATTTGCGAGTTTTTTCTTTTTTTTTTATCGGAGAATAAAAGTATCGCGCGTGCGCATTTCTTCCGCTTTTTAAAGCACGGATCGTAAAGTTATACACGCCTCGCGGATGACCCAGAGTCCAGCGCGATCGAGCATGAAATCAATTCGCAGCGAAGCCGAGAAGCCGGTTAGCCGATATATATATATATATATTATATATATATATGTATATATATATATTCGAAGGAGAATATACTCGTCGTCGAATTAAAGCGAGCAAACAGTTTCATCAATCCTTTCACTACCGGTACCTCGCGCACCGCGCGCATCATTACGCTTCCTCCCCGGTGTTTCGCGCCGAGCGACCATTTGCGTCGCGTGTTACAATAGCGCGAACAACGCACGGAGTTCGAAATGGCAGAGCTTGTTTCGCGGAAATCTTCTCCGTCGTCGTGCTGTAACATTCTTATTCCGTTGCGGGATTAATCGAAGTCAACGACGCGCGAGTTGTTGAAATCAACGATAAAAGTCGGCTCCGCTCCAAGGACGACACAGTTGTTTCCGAGGATGACCTCATCGCGATCAACAACTTCAATTGTCGCAATCGCCGGGTGGTTACGATCTCTCCGTGACTTCAGTTTGTCCTTTTGAACAAACACGAGAGAAAGAAAGAGAGAGAGAGAGAGAGAGAGAGAGAGAGAGAGAGAGAGAGAGAGAGAAATTGAAACTTCACAGTTCGCGCGTTTCCCTCGAACATCGTCACTTTCCTCGGAAAGCGAGATTTGGCAAGAGGCGCGGAGTGTAGTCTCGCCTCGGTGAGGATGGACATGGGGCGATTAAATATAATGAGCCGCGTGACGCAAACCGGAAAGGATAAATAGACGACGGATGCTCCTCGGAATCGACTTCTTCGTCGCGAGGAGGAAGCGTAAATTATTATATTCGTCTTCTTCTCGGTGTGTCTACGCGTCGGGGAAAAAGAAAATCGACTAAAACACACGACTACGTGTGACCACCTCTTACACGCGTGACGAAATATTGAAATATAAATGTTCGAAGTATAAAAAAAAAAACTATGAAATTAATCTCCATCGCGCGCGAAAAACAATCCTCCGAACCTTCAGTCAGGATTTTTTATTGATTTTTTTTTCAGCAATAAAATCGCGCGAAATTCACACGCCGCTGTAAGTTTCGCGAACACCCAGTATGCTGAACGCTAAATTTAGACGAAAGAATTTCCGCGGTATCCAGCAGCTTGCGGCCATTCGCTCTTCGCGACTTCGCTTTTACTTGATTTTCGCGAAACGAGCCTAAGTCAACGTCTTCTTCGCTCGAAGATTCTCACGCGCGCGTGTCTCCGAATCGCGCGTGGATGATCGCGCGCGTATGTCGCGGAAGATATGTGCGCGCGTTTTACCGCGTAAAACCGCGTAAGAAAGGATGCTCATCACGAAGTACACCACGATCTTATTGCGATCCACCAATCAGCACATTATCAGGTGAGATACATAACATTACGTCACTTTTTTCTTTTTTAATCTTTGAATATTTAGCGGATTCGGTTTCTGCGAAATATATTTCCCCCATGAATTTTCACTCTCTCTGCGTAATTCGCAGCACCGTCGTCGCGCGATAATTATGTCTCATAATTAATAAGAACTCTTAACGATACCAAGAGTCTCTAATTGGACGGCGGATTTAATTTCGACCATTAATCCCAGGCATAATCGAGTTCTCCGGGAGCGGGTTTCTTCGACTTCTCCGGGGCAGAGGAACGCTTAGTATTCGAGAATCGTCCGATGCATATTTAAACGAGCGAGTCGAATGGAAGTCGCCGTCGCCCTTTCTCTCTCTTTCTCTATTTTGAGATTATTAAATTCTCCGAGGGAAAATCTCCCGCTTCGCGTAAGAGAGAGACGTCGTCGTCGTCGTCTTCCGGAAATCGTGAGATTTCTCGTATTCACGTGAATTAATTCGGACTATTCTTCTCGTTTACATTTTCCGATTTGAATTTCTCGATAAATAAATTCTCTTATTCTTTTTTTCCACGTGTGTAATATAACGACATTTATGAACATTCATCATTGCTCGAATCCCCCCTAGGACGATTTTATGGCGCCTAATTAAAGCGAAGTATCGGTATCCCGTCTCTCTGTTCTCGCGAAACCATAGGAGGTTGTCGCTCCGCGAACTGGGAGGGAGGAAAAACCAATAAAGGGCACGATTCATTTTTTTTTCTCTCTTTTTTCTCCTCTTCCTCGGAGGAACGACGGGATATCGAGCCTCGGAAGTCTTCCCGATCGATCCCCGTGTGGACCACGGAGGGGACAATTTATATCCTCGATAAATTCCTTTCGCTTTCATTAGCGGCCTTGTCCGGCCTATCCCTCCCCCTCCCCTCCCCCACGGGAAGGGGTGCCGGCACGTATGCGATCAGAGAAAAGATTTACAATGTCTCTCGAAATTCACCTTGATGCACACTCGACCGAACGCAATTCGAACTTGAAAACACACGCGATGACGTGTTTATAAAAACAAAAAAACTAAATAAAACTCTTATCTCGAGAAAATGACGACAAAATTGCGTTTTAAATAGGTTTATCGCCTTGAAGCGAGCGTTAAAACGTAGAGGATGTAATTTCTTACAATACTTTTTGATCCTGAAAGCGGAACTGGAGCGTGATAATCCGCGCGATACTCGTTTTTGCAGTTAAGACAAAATGGGATTAGGAATAATTGAACATCCGCGCGATAGAAACTCGTGTTATACGAGACCGGGTTTTTGCATATTAGTCGGTGAACGCAAACGGAATATACATTCGGCAGCGGTAACGACGCCTCGTTAGAGAACCCTCACAATTCGACGATCCCCGTGTTGCAACCCCGTAGACGTAATTAGGAGAGCTCGTAACGTCGTTGTTTTCCGTTGCCCTCGCTTAGGAAAAAAAAAAAAAACAAAATTAGATACAGACGTGACATGCGCAGACAAATTGCGAATTGATTACTCGATCGTTTGTCACGGAACGGCGATTTATCTTGCGTCTCTCTTTCTCTATCGTTGCGTCGAGATAAAAGAGTATAGAAACAATCAAATCGATGCGGGAAATAAAATTTTTAAATAAAATACAATAATTTTTAAATAAAATACATATACAGTTTCAGAATTTTATTGAAATAAATTTGTTATTGTAACAAGTCACAGTCGAGAGTGCACGAGTTTTCTTTCAAACAATCTCTTCCGGCGATTTAATCATGCGGCAAAGGGTCATGTCCATTCATAAGAGAGCACTGTGTGTATGTTATTATATACGATCGATCGAACGGAAGGTCATTGTCCTCCGGCAATCGGTTTAAAATATCTCGGCGAAGGTAATTAGTCGTGAGGGATATTACAATCGACTTAGCGGAAATTTATAATAATGCCATCCTCCCCATGAAGACATTATTGATGCTTTATTGTTAACGTTGTTCGCATCGCGATAACGTATCAATATATTGTAATATCACACTCGCGCAAATTTGATTTTATTGCAAAATTATTCTCTAGAAAATTACCTATAATTGTATTGCAGAATAAAATCTAGAAATTTGTTTTTGTTTTGTTTTTTAACGAACTTAATTAATAACAAAATATTAATTTCAACCGCAAACACAGAATATCTTATTAGGGTAAAGCGTTACACAGTTTCTTTTGCTTTCGTCTCGTTAAAAATCGAGTCGCGAGTTACTAGGGAAAAGTTTTTCTCAAGGAGAAGTGGATTTGCGAATTTAAAGTTAACAGTCTCCGTATGAATTGGTCCTTAAATGTCGTCGTCGGGGATTTCTACGGGTTTTTCACGGATTCTGAAAAACTTTTATATTGCAGCCTAAATTGCTCGAGGCTGCCCTTGGCACGCGTCAATGGTTACTTTTTAATTAAAAGTTTCGCTTTTAAAGCGACCTTTTGTGCGCGCGCGTTGCGTATCGGACACGGTACCGTAAATTTGGCGACGTGCCCGAAACGCGTTTCAACACTCAAAACATAAGCCATTAATGATTATTTATCTCTCTCTCTCTCTCTCTCTTTCTAATCAGAGAACTTCGTACAACCAACTTTAAGGTACTTCGTACAACTCAATATCTGCGTTTATTGTGAAAAAACATTCTTTTTTTACGAGTTATCGTATAAAAGAGAAACTGTCCTCTCGGTTATGCATTGAAAAACGCTGGATATTAATTAATTTATCGGACGTTGTTCTCACTGTGTGATTTCTCCGCGGAGATCCGCGTTTTTCACCGCGGGTCGTTTCTCATAGACAGCTTTTCCCTCGGGCGGGCAGCGGTAGCGAGAGCTCGCTATTAAACCCGTGGGATAAGACCTGGCACTTCACTTGGTGCGTTCGTTCTAATTAAATTATTCCGAAACGCGTAACCCGCTGTGTGGCACTTCAGCAGACGTTTATAAGCTTCTGTGCGTCTACACTTACGTGAAGACGCGAACACAGAGACGCGCAGGTTTGTGTGTGTGTGTGTGTATCTCTTTCTCTCTGTGCGTTGCGGCGAGAGCACAGCTTGCAAAAGAGGAAAATTGTGTCCTCTCGGAATTCCGGATGATCGAGTCGAGTCTGTCACACTCGTCGTTTATATGATAATATACCGAATAATTAGCTGTCACTCCCCTCTGTATTATTATAATATATACATGTACATATATGATAATATACTGATTAATCAGTCTGTTACTCTCATGTATTATTAGCTCGGACAGGTAATGTCGATTATTTGGATACAAGCCGTCAAAATGACGAATATTTCAGAAATGCTATCTATTAGTTAGAAATTTTCTGAGTAGTTATTTATTTTAACAAGAGAAAAGGTAAACGCGAAATATTAAACATTCTTGTGACTGAAAGCTTTTTGTGTTAATTAATTGTTTAATTGTTAAAGAAATTAAAATTGCCAACGAACAAAACATTTTCTTCAAACGTCCGTCAAATTCACGGATGTGGTAAAACTATAGGTGTACGTTCAATTCGGATTTTTTGTTCTAGTGTTAATGTATTTTGTTTATAAAAATAATATTTTATATAATTGAGAATTTTTAAACAATAAGTTTTCATCGCGCGTCCAGAGAGATGGAAAATAAATTTCACTTCCTTCCTTCGAACATCTCATTCGCCGTCGAAGTCGACGGCACGTGAAGGAGGGCATTTTGCGTTTTCAATGCGGGAGCGAGATTTTCCGATTCAAAAAGCAATCAGCCAAGACCAAAGGCAAGGCGGGCGTTGCCGAGTACGTGACGCGATTTTCCTCTCTGTGCCGAGAGAGTTTGAAGATGATTTTTCCATCGCGTCTCTCTCTCCCCGGGAGGAAAGAGAGACCCGTCTCGTACTTTGACAGAGACGAAGCTCGAGATATGACGGATCGTGCGGAGAAAGAAAAAAAAAACGGCGGAGAGAGGAACACACGTTGAGGCGCGTGGCAGACGACAAATCGTCGCGTAGATGCGAAACGATATACGCGCGTCGGTATTACCGCTAGGCGAAGTTCTTCTCTTGTTTCATTTTCTCTTTCTCTCTGTCTCTTCTTTACCCCGCAGTTGTGTCCAATCACCGTACATAAACTCTCCGGCACTTCGACAAATAAGACGGCGAACGAACGAGCCGATATTTATCACGGAACGCCCATTACCGGCGAGCGAGAATACGCGGAGCGATTTTACCGCCGATTCGTTTCGATTCGCGTCGAAACGAGTTCACGGGATAACGCAATAAATTAGTATCTATGTTTATCTACACATTGGCGCGCGAACGACGTTCGCTCTCTCTCGCGCTGAATCTCACCTAATCTGAAAATAATCTGAAAAGTGAACACGATGATGGTGAATGACGAATTCCGTTTGCAAGAGAGACTCTCGCGGAGCAAATGTTGAAAAAGAAAAAAATAAATAGCACACGGTTTTTTTTCAACTGTAATTAAAAAGCGCGATTTTAATTTAAGTCAAGGCCGGCGCATGAAACTGAAAATTAACGTTGCAACATTTACGGCGGCGTCGCGTATATTCGCGCAAATTTGTCATGCGACAAGCTCGCGACGGGTTTTTGTTTTTTTTTTGTTTTTTTTGCGAGGGAAAGTTATCGTTGACTGCGACAACACGTGTTCTTTGTCCACCGTGTGGAGAGAAAATGTAACGCGGAGAAAACAATTAATTGTTATGCACGCACATGCAACATGTGCGTTCGTGTCGCGCACAACCGCTACACAATTACGTGTAACGACCTCGCTGAAAATTAGAGATCGCCTTGAGCGATTGTAATACCGAGGTATCAGAAATAATGTCGTGATTTTGCGCAATTTTTTGTGAATGTCACTTGAAGAAACGAAGAAAAAGAATTTTTTCTTTTGCTCGCAAAAAAGAAACGAGCTCGCGTTAATTAAAATTACTGTTTTACGCTGGAAAGAGTACAAAAAGAAACATCTCTCTCTCTCTCTCGGTAGAGATTATTTTCATCTCTCACGG